TCTCGCTCTCCCGCGCTCTCTCTCTCGCGCTCTCTCTCTCGCGCGCTCTCTCTCGCGCGCTCTCTCTCGCGCGCTCTCTCTCTCGCGCGCTCTCTCTCTCTCGCGCTCTCTCTCGCGCTCGCTCTCTCTCTCTCTCGCTCTCTCTCTCGCTCTCGCGCTCTCTCTCTCTCTCACTCGCTCGCGCTCTCTCTCTCGCTCTCTCTCGCTCTATCTATGCACAATCAGCTTGTAACACTCCAAAGAGAAAGGAAAACTTGAAATTGCATCATATGACCCCTTTAAACCATGTATGAATGTAGATTGGAGTGGGTTTGTAAATATTGGATTTGGTGGGATTTTGTTTTGCTCGCATTACAAAAAAAACAACCAATTTTACTCTGAAATGCTAATTTTAACATGTAAAAAGTTAGTTTTGTACCTCTGCAGGGTGTACATTGAAATGGTTTGATATTTCTCTCCTCTTAAGTATTTTGTATCGGTCTCCTCTCTCTTTTTTTCGATACAGACAGCGTCTGTTTGAGAATCTGCGGATGTTGCCTCATGCCCCAGGGGTTCAGATGCAGGCGATCCCAGAGGATGCTGTTCAGGAAGACAGCGGAGATGAGGACGACGACCCTGACAAACGCATCTCCAGTGAGTGCCACCTTTATTCACTTGTTGGCAGCTTTTTCTTTAATTGCATACTCCCAAACATTGAAACACCTTGACTTGTCATTGTGGACCCTTTTAATGCTTACTGATACTGACACAAATAAGTTTAGTTTGAGATCTGAGTTCTGCAGAGCATGAATGTTTGTTGTTTTTCTCATCTATAGTCCGTGCCCATGACAAGCGGATAGCCTGCGATGAGGAGTTCTCAGACTCCGAGGACGAAGGACAGGGCGGCCGGAGAAATGCAGCTAATTACAAAAAGCCTAAGCGAGTGAAGACTGAAGAAGAGAAGGATGGAGAAGAGAAGAAAGGTGAGCCAACAGGTACAGCCAGTTTCTTCCACTTCAGTAAGAACAACGGTTAAACTTCTGTGAGAATGCATTGGGCTGATTGTGTTCACAGATTGTATAAAAGCACAGTATTATAGTTAAGAGAAGTGAGATTGACACATTGTCCCTCTCATTTGATACCAGATGTTAAAGAAGAAGAGAAAGCTTCAGAAGAAAAAATGGACACAAAGGGGTAAGTTATCTGTCACATCATGGATTATGAAATATGTGCTCAGGTTTTCTGGCTGTATAAACTGCACTCTAAATGGCAGGTGTTTCTTTATTAATTTTTTAAAAATCTACTCAATAGGCTTCTTTGATTTTCATAAGGGTTTTTTTTTTCAGCCTGACATCTGTTTTCTAAGTGTTTAGTTGAAATTTGAATCTTCTAAAATATTAACTTGTAAATGCAGTACCATTTAAAAGTTTTTTATTTTTTTATTTTTTTTTATTATTATTGTTTTTCATCAGTGGTGAATTAACTTGATCAAAAGTAGCAGTAAAAACTGTATAATGTTACAAAATATTTCTATTTTCAAATAAGGCCACACGAAGCCAGAGTTTTCCCTATCTGATCTTTTTTTTTTTTTCTCCTCGTCTCAAGAAATACCTGCGTCCACACGAAACCGACACAAAACGCTGTAGTATACATGCCAGACCAGTATGTGGCACTGTGATTCTGCCACAGAGATACACTAAAAACGGAGAAGACGACTTAGACTATGCGCATAAACCTTGCACGCGGTATACAAATGAACATGGAACAATACATGTATTAATCTGTTAATGTTAGTTAATAAAAAGACAATCATTCAGTGTTTGTTCATGTTTTTGTTGCTGTTACGTGAGGTAGTGGTGCCTGACTAGGGGCGAGACGTGGGCTGATGACGTCATCGTTTCAGAAAATATAGGGATTCGCTGTCCACACGAAAACGCAAGGGCGGCGTTTTCAGATTTATCCACTCTGGGACCCGGTTTCAAAAAATATCGGTTTCACTCTCCCAAAACGCCGGATCCATCTGGACGAAACGCCTATACGATGCAAAATGTATGCGTATACAGCTAAACGCGTCTCCGTGTGGACGGGGCCTAAATGCTGTTCTTTTGAATGTTCTATTCAAAGCATTCTGAAAAAAAAAATATTTCATGGTTTCCACAAAAATATTAAACAGCACAACTGCTTTTAACATTGATAAATCTTTCTTGAGCAGCAAATCAGCTCTGAAGACTGCCGTAATGATGCTGAAAAAGTTTTGCCGTCACAGGAATAAATTATTTAAAAATATATTCAAATAGATACGTCTTTGCTGTAATAATACTGTTTTTACTCTCTTTTTGATCAAATAAGTGTAGCTTAGTGAGCATGAGACTTTCAAAACGCCAAATCTCACCAACACCAATGTTTTTAACCATACTGTATATCGCAGTATTTATATTTGCTTTTTAAATAGAAAATTGCATAGAATGCAAAAAAATGCATAGAATTTATCCCTGATTTCCTTGAATGTTCATGACACTTCAACTATATGTATATTCTTTTCATTTTCATTTCAGGCCAAAAGAAGAGCTAAAAACAGTCTGAGGAAAGGACATGTGGTCCTCACGGATGCATGAACTTCTTGTCAAATTTCAAACCCACATTCACATGCTAGATGTTAGCTCTAGTCCTGAGCTAAGGACTGTAAATTATTTTGTAAAACTCGTTTTACTATTTGTAATCTAATGAAGCGGTATAAAAGTTTTTACATTTACAAGTGTGAAATGACATGTTTAGTTCTTTTTTTTTTCTTGAAACCATGTTTGTTTGCCTCCCACCTTCGATCCTTATGTTTACCGTTTACTGATGTTAGCACCTGAAACAGGACCAGAGATAGCACATATCTTTTCTCTCCCATCATGGGAAGCTCTCCCCTTGAATTTGTTTTAAATCATGGATTGACATTCTTATTTAGTTTTCTCTGCGGATGCTGTTTGTGTATGGTATCCTTTACCTCGTTTTTAAGGGTTAAATGTTTGTTTTTATTAAGATGTCTGTTTTGATGGCTCTGTATTGAACTTTCCCCTGGCTGGTGGGGCATGGCAAAGGCTTGCTGTATTGCTGTTAGATTCCAGATTCTTTTCTGTTGTGGTTACGCTAGCACGTCAGTCACGGCTGACCAGATATAGCCGTTTGGAGTTCCAGAGTTCAGTGGTTGTGAAATGTCCTTATTATAACAATGACTTTGGTAAATAAAGAAAAAAAAATTCTGACTTTTTGTGGATTTCATTCATCTTGCACAAACACAATTTCATGTTCAGATTTTCTAGCAGTAACTTTATAGTAAGTTTGTGTGATTATCAGTGGCCAAATTAGGTTGTATGTTTGCAAGTGAAACTCTTCAAACACTGGTAACACTTTACACTAAGTTTTGAGTTCGTTTACACTGGTTAGTGCAGTAGGTATAACAGCGTTTGAACTTCTACTGTACAACGTAGTTGTATTTAGTGTAGTAGCAATTAAGATGAAGAAATGCTGTTTAAAATGGTTCCCCACACGTGTGTATGTATATAAAACATCTTTTTCTAAATTTTAAATAATTTTGAAAAGTCCAAATAAGCAGATCTTTATCAGAAAGTTTAAACATTGTTTTTTTTCACACTTGTTCAATGAACTATAAACTATTCGTGCACTTGCACCTGTGGAACAGTCCTTCAGTGGCAGGCAGTTATAATGTTATGTTAAAGAGACCTTTTCTACTGACTGAAAAACAGAAGAAAAAGGTCCAGGGTTGCCATAGTCCTGCTGCAAGGAGGCATGAGGACCGCAGATGTGGCCAGAGCAAACAAACTGCAGTGTCTGTAATGTAAGATGCTTAAGACGAGTGCTACAGGGAGACAACTGATCATCCTTGCAGTGGAAAACCACATGTAACCATGTGTCCCAAAAGACGTTTTCAAGAACATGCAAGAAGAGTGAAGTAGCATCTCACTGCAAGAACTAGCAAATCGCAGCATTTTAATTTTTGGATGAAATATCCCTTTAATGCGTGTAATGAATAATATCATAACCTAGATTAATTGTAGGAAAAAAATACTTTGAAAACAAAAAAACAACTTGTATTAGTTAAACCAAGCATATCCATTTTAGTATTTCTACAGTGATGGCACCAATATGTAAAAAGACAAGCAGTAAAAAAACAGGCCACTTTATCTCAAACCCAGTTTATTCAGAATGTTCCATTCATTAAATATATATTGGATCAAATGCTTTAAATGCAATATTTGTATGAAGGTGACTGTATGAAACACAATCTCCATGTTCATCCTTGTGAAGTCGATCAGGTGTTACCGTTGTGTTCAAATGGTGATCTGTCCTGGATGTTGGGAGTGCTGACGGTCACTGGTTATTACGCCTCAAGCTCAAAATCAAAATAGTGGGGATCAAAGTAATGAATTCTGACGTAACCATCCTCTCCTCCACTGCTGTAACTGTGGGTGCAAAAGAGTGTGATGGTTAATGAAATTATGAAGGACAAATATTGAAAACAAATTTTACATGACTGATAAATCAAAGTAAATGTTCTAAGAAAATATAAATGCAGGAACTCACCTTTTCCCATCTGGGTGGAAGGCCACGCAGTTAATGGGGCCGAAGTGTCCCTTCACACGGCCAAACTCCTCTTCATAAGCTGCATGGAAAAACCTAGAAGAGCGTGGCAATTCTATTCTATTATTTTTCCTTCATATCAATGCATTTTCAAGATTTTAAATTGCCATTACTTTACCAGGCCTGCAAATGACATTTTCCACGCGTGTGTGAATCACAGTTGAACACACTAACCTGGCCTCGAATTTACCGATCCTAGTAGAGGTGGTTGTGACTTCCATGGCCTCCTGACCACCTCCCATCACCACCTGAGCAACACAGTTTGCTTGCAGTTACACAAATAACACACATTAACTGAAGTTCAGCATGGGAGACACTACAGTAGATTTCCAAGACGTACATGGTCCATGATGGGTGAGATAGCAGCGGAGTTAACAGGTCGCTCTGTCTTGAAGGTTTTGATGTGCTCGAGGCTTGTGGAGTCAAACAGCTGCACAATGAATGAAGCGGTATGTGAGTCAGACTAACCCAGCATTATTCCTGACACAGTTTACCATTCGCTTTTTCGACACAAACCTTGGCAGTACAGTCTTTGGAGGCACTGATGAGCATCGTGAGATCCACAGACGACTGGATGTCGTTGATCTGTTTGGTGTGTTCCTTTGCCGCCTTCAAAATCTCCCCTGACTGAAGAATCACACATTAGACAACCAACGTCTCTTAAATCTGTAAGATTTGTAATGTTTTTGAAGACTCTTCTAAGGCTGCATTTATTTGATCGAAAATACAGTAAAAACGGTAATGCTGTAAAACATTATTACAATTTTAAATGACTGTTTTCTTTTTTTAATATATTTTAATTTATTCCTGTGATGCAAAGCTGAATTTTCAGCATCATTACAGTCTTCAGTGTCACATGATCCTTCAGAAATCATTCTAATATGCTGATTTGCTGCTCAAGAAACATTTCTTGTTTTCATCATCATGGTTTCCCATACATTGTTGATATTGTGGCGGGCCACCACAAATAAATCACTGACCAACACAAATAGATTTTCCAAAAGGCTTTGAGTTCGTTAAATAAACATGACCACTGTTTCAAAATCAAAATGTGGCACAGGTGTTTTTATATGTATCTTTTTTGAAGGGAACCGATTGTCTTCAGAAAAGTTTTGATGTCATTTTCATTTAATCTTTCCTATAATGCCTGATAAAGTAGCGTTCATCAGTCCATATGGTATACACAATATAATATTATATGATGAATAGAAAGAATACAAATGTACAGTCACTTTTGGTCAATTTAATGCATCCTTGCTGAATTAAATATATATTTATATATTTTTTATTTATTTATTTTTTTTTTTATTTTATTGACCCCAAAATTCTGATTGGTCATGTAAGAGAAACAAAAGGCACAAACCTTAGCACTGTACTGGTTAATTTCTCCATTCTCATGACCGGCAATCACAAACTCTCCCAGCGGACCCCACACAGCGCTGGTGATCTTTGACTCACTGCAGGGCACAGACTGATATGGCTGGTTGTCCTCTGTGGGAAAGAAATGCAATATTAAATACCTTTGCCAGGAAGCATCACCAATATTCCTTTAATCACCAGTGGTCAAACACTAACCGATTTGTTGGGGATCTCGCAGGTCAAAATAGTTGAGAAAGCACTGGTAGCCCATCTGCTTGTCTGTGGAAAACATTATGATGTTCCCACTGAAGTCAAAGCCACACGTCCTCACCGCCGAGCTCGTCTCCAGCAGAGCCAGCTGCTTTCCTGAGGAAGTCAACACACAAACCTCATTCAACAAGACTAAAGGTATGTGTTTGACATTTTGGAAAATGCTGCTTGTTGACTGATATTAAATATTGTCAGCAGCCATATCACCCTGCAGCCCAAGACTGGTTGCCCACTGAAGCTAAGCAGGGCTGAGCCTGGTCAGTACCTGGATAGGAGACCTCATGGAAAAACTAGGTTGCTGCTGGAAGAGGTGTTAGTGAGGCCAGCAGGGGGTGCTCACCCTGTGGTCTGTGTGGGTCCTAACGCCCCAGTGTAGTGACGGGGACACTATACGGTAAACAAGCACCGTCCTTCGGATGAGACGTTAAACCAAGGTCCTGACTTATTATTATTATATTAGGTTTTTTTTTAGTGGTTTGTGAAATAAAGCTCAACTTACAACACCGGACAAATAGAATAAAGACATGATGCTTTTCTTTGAGATAATATATATATAGAGTTGTATGGCTTTACATTTAATGTGCAGGTGTTTTTTTTTACTGTGGGGATTGTATAAAAAATAAAACAATACTGATATTTTTTTTTAAGTACTAATATTTTTAAAACAATATGCTGGTGGTGTGACTGTCTGGAGATGGTAAAAAATTAAAAGGCTTAAATTACTGAGAAAATTAAGAACAGTTCAATTATTATTATGTATTATTACAAAATTTGACAATTTTAAAATGTGACCCGTGCTGGCAAAATGAGACAGAATGTGAAGTTTTTTCATTTTCACATTCTCCATTAAAAGACCTTCAGAATGATGTATGATTTGTTGAGCTAAACCTGTTTGACGATAGTCAAGAGTCAGCAAAGTCAATTCTGAGAAAAATCGAGTTCAAGTTTTCTGAAGGTTCCAAAGCAAAATCACCTGCAACGTTGCATCTTTTGCTCCACTTCTTTTCTTAATAATAATTTCCTTTTTAATAATCACAATATAGCTATTTTTTATTTTATCTTTGTTATTATAAATAAGAACAGATGCAAAAAAACAGTAGAATATAAGAAAAAAACAAATAGTACATTACCCTTTTCATTTTACGTCTAAACAAAAGCATTCAAGAAAAACAAATAATCAAATGTAAAAATCCCTTTAGAGTGTTCATGAAAAATAAACTGATTTTTAAAACTACAAAAGCAGTTCAATCAAGAGCAGCAAGCGATTCAAAATTAGACCGTGCGCATTCTGACTCATTTTGCCAGCACAGGTCACAAATGTTTGATTGCAAAGAAGAATGGTATGCTACTGAAGTTTTATTTGAAAATACTAATATCTAAAATATATTTAACATTAAAACTAAAAAACATCAAAATGTTTAAATTCTTGACAAAATTCAAATTGTTTAAATAATCAGCACTTGCAATTTGATTTAAATTTTTAATAAACGTATCCTTTTGTTGGAATTTCT